GCCCCCTGCTGCTGGAGGACTAGGAAGCAGAGCAATTCCAGGGTGGCGTGGGGTTTTTTTTTTGACTCATTTGCCTGCGTTTATGATTTCATTGGGTCATAGAGCGGCTGCCTGGGTTGGGCTTCTCTTTCAGTGTGGTTTATGCTCACAGGTTAAGATGGAACTTTCACTGTTCAGAAAGAAAAAAAGTAGCCGGGCGCCGGTGGCTTACACCTGTAATCCTAGCTACTCAGGAGGCTGAGATCTGAGGATCACGGTTCAAAGCCAGCCTGAGCAGGAAAGTCTGTGAAACTCTTATCTCCAATAAACCACCAGAAAACTGGAAGTGGCGCTGTAGCTCAAGTGGTAGAGCACTAGCCTTGAGGAAAAAAAAGAGCTGAGGGACAGCGCTGAGGCCCAGCGTTCAAGCCCCACAATCGACCAAAAAAGAAAAAAAAAGAAAAAAGTAATATTGCAGTAAAGAACCAGAGGCTGGAGACTCGTTTTTTGGAGTCACAGGATCCTGGGTTCCAGTCTCCTACCAGCTGACTTTGTGCCCTTCCTTAGTCAAATATAGCAACATTTCTGAGACAGTATCTGACTTTGGGTTACTATAACAAAGTACCCTAGGCAGATGGCTTGTAAACTCCTCATTATAGCAGCCTGGCTGCATTGCATATTGCCAGCTTCTGGTTGTTTCTTTTCTTTCTTTCTTCTTTTTTTTTTGGGGGGGGGGTCCGGTCGTGGGGCCTGAACTCTGGGCCTGGGCGCTGTCCCTCAGCTCTTCAGCTCAAGGCTAGCGCTCTACCACTTGAGCCACAGCGCCACTTCCGGCTTTTTTTTTCCTGCTTATGTGGTGCTGAGGAATCGAACCCAGGGCCTTATGCATGCAAGGCAAGCGCTGTACCACTGAGCCACCTTCCCAGCCCTGTAATGATTCTTAAGGCTGTGAGATTATGGAAGATTTCTCATTTCCCCACTGTACCATTGCCCTTTTACTTTTAGAATTACTATTTAAGTCATAACTTGACTTTATAGTTAAAATAAACATAAAAGCTGCTGGCTGTATAAGGCATTTGCGGTTTACTTTGAGCTTTCTTTTTCTTTTTCTTTTTTTTTTTTTTTTATTTTTTTATTGTAAAGCTACTATACAGAGGGTTACAGTTACATGAGTGAGGTTATGAGTACACTTCCTCTTGAACATTGTTACCCCCTCCATTGTTTTCCCCCTACCATCCCCTCCCTTCTTTTTCTTTTTTTTTTTCCGCCAGTCCTGGGGCTTGAACTCAGGGTCTGGGCACTATTCTCAAGTCTCTTTTTGCTCAGGGCTAGTGCTCTAACACTTGAGCCACAGCTCCACTTCCAGCTTTTTCTGAGCAGTTCATTGGAGATGAGAGTTTCACGGACTTTCCTGCCCTGAAACCATGACCCTCAGACCTCAAGCCTCCTGAGTAGGTAGGATTACAGGCGTGAGGATTACAGTGTTTCCGGCTGCTTTGAGCTTTCTTACAGCTCTCATTTTGTTTGCAGAATGATCTTGTTGGTTGTTCCTCTTTCTTCTTCATGGTTCAGAGGAGAGAAAGAGGTAGAACGGAGGGGGTCAGTGTCTTCCCAAGCCCCCAAATGAGCCCCAGCTACAGCTCCTGGGAGGTAGTCACAGGGCCTATGTGGATCTGCAGGGTGGTCTTTGGTGCATAGAACCAACTGTGGCTAGTTTTGAAGTTTCTCATTGAATCAAATGGAAATTTTGTTATTATAAAGAGAGGCCCTAACTGTAGTTTATGATCATTTTCATTACTTTAAGGTGTGTTTGGGTTCTATAATATCAAATCAAGTTGTCACCAACTGGGTATGCCAAGAGTGTGCATTGTGGTCTTCGAAGGAACCACGAAGCAGGCTCTCCTCCTGCACAGGCCACTATTAGTGGGTTTTGTAGCTGACTGATTTGCTGGTGCTGGCCTGCTTGGGTGCTGTTTAGCTTGGACATGATGATGCTTTAATTAAGCAGTGCTGACCTCTACTCCAGTAAATGTACCAGCAGATAAGGCTGGGCATGTGCCACAGACATGGACGAGAGCTCCAGGCTCTGGCATTCTCTGAGAGACCCTTAGGAGGTCTTCCATTCCATTCACCAGATAGGGATAGCTGCTCCAGTTTACCCACAGTGAAGGGCTCAGAGATGAAGTGACCTCCGAGGGTCGTGAGAGAAGTCCACACCCAGATCCCTTTATCCAGCGCCTGGAATAAGGAGATTGTGAGTCACTCACCCTCAAATGTGAAAACAATATTTACAAGTTAATCTTCCCACCCCACCTCTGAGAAACAGACATGGGGCAAATTATGTAGTCTTTTCTTTGGCTTAATGCAGGATCTCTGCTTGCAACTTACCTGGCTAAAATAATCTAACATGTTGCAGTAAGATATGAAAATGGGAGATAAGGACAGAGTAGGACTTGCCCCACTCTTGTGGTGTGGTCAGGGTGACTCTGCTTGTCCACTGCTCCCTCCAGGGTGGGGTCAGAGGGTGGAGCCATGGCCCAGGATTCCAGAGGCCTCACTTACACAGCTGCAGTCTAAAAGGTATCTAATAGAAGAAGCTGGTGGCTGAGGAAGAAGAAATTGAATATCCTTTAGAGAGGGACAACACCATAAAAGTGTAGGTTTTCACCTTTGGTTGACATTGTGATAGCAATCATTTAGATCATTTGTGCCAGCTATTAGACCAGGCGATTTTTGTTTGTTTGTTTGTTGTTCTGTGTCTTGTGTTGTTCTGTGTGTTCTGTGTGTTTAATGTTCTTTTTCTTTCCTTTTTTTTTTTTTTGGTCGTGGTGGTTGAACTCTGGGCCTGGGCAATGTCCTTCAGCTCTCCAGTTCAAGGCTAGAGCCCTACCACTTGAGCCACAGCACCACTTCTGGCTTTTTTTCTGCTTATGTGGTGCTGAGGAATCGAACCCAGGGCATACGAGACAAGCACTCTACCACTGAGACAACCTTCCAGCCCACTGTGTGTTGTTTTTTGAGATAGATCTTGCTATGTAGCTGGACTGGCTTCAAACTCTCCATCCCCAGCCTCCCAAATGCTGGAATACAGGTGCACACCACCATGCCTGACGTGCAGGTTTGTTTTTGTGCTTGTGAAAATTGCCAATTAAGTGTGCCAATTAAAAACTTAATTTAATTTTTTTTTGGTTCGGTACTGGGGCTTGAACTCTGGGCCTGGGTGCTGTCCCTTAGCCCTTCAGCTGAAGGCTAGTGCTCTACCAATTGAGCCACAACGCCACTTCCGGTTTTCTGGTGGTTAATTGGAGGCCAGAGTCTCACAGACTTTTCCTTCTGGGGCTGGCTTTGAACTTCGATCCTCAGATCTCAGCCTCCAGAGTAGCTAGGATTACAGGCGTGAGCCACTGACACCCAGCTAAAAATTTAATTTTTATTTATTTTCTTCTTCTTCGTCTCCATCTCCGTCTCCGTCTCCTTCTCCTTCTCCTTCTTCTTCTTCTTCTTCTTCTTCTTCTTCTTCTTCTTCTTCTTCTTCTTCTTCTTATTTGCTTTCTATTCTTTTAAAAACTGGAAGGGACAGCCAGGTGCTAGTGGCTCATGCTTGTAATTCTACTTACTCAGGAGGTCGAGATCTGAGGTTTGTGATTCGATAAATGCCTGGCAGGCAGGAAAGTGTGAGACTCTTTTTTTTTGGGGGGTGTGTGGGGGGGTCTGGTCGTGGGGCCTGAACTCTGGGCCTGGGCCCTGTCCCTCAGCTCTTCAGCTCAAGGCTAGCACTCTACCACTTGAGCCACAGCGCCACTTTCTGCTTTTTTTTCTTTTTGCTTATGTGGTGCTGAGGAATCGAACCCAGGGCCTTAGGCATGCAAGGCAAGCACTCTACCACTGAGCCACCTTCCCAGCCCAAGTGTGAGACTCTTATCTCCAATTATTCCCAGAAAAATCAGGAAGTAGAGCTGTGGTTCCAGTGGTACAGTGCTAGTCTTGAGCGAAAGAAGCTCAGGGACAGTGCTCAGGCTGAGTTAAGGCACCAGGACTGTAAAAAACAGTTTGTTTGTTTTTTTAAGGAACAACATAGGAAATGATCTTTTCTGAATATAGAACTCTATTTTACCTTTCTCACATGCAAAGGGATTTTTAATGGGTCTTAGTGGCCCCCATTGACCTCCATGCTCAGAAGGAAACAGTTAAGAGGCCTGTCTATCCTCTCTTCCATTCATCTGTTTTTGGTTAGTTGGTCATGGGGCTTGTTCCTGAGCTTTTCTGCTCAAGGCCAACACTTTGCCACTTTGAGCCACAGCTCCACTTCCTGTTTTCTGGTGGTTAATTGGAGATAGCCTCATGGACTTTCTGCCCCAGCTGGCTCCAAACTGTGATTCTCAGATCTCAGCCTCTCCAAGTAGCTAGAATTACAGGTGTGGGTCACCAGTGCCTGACTTTCACCTCTTTCATTTAGTTGCGCTTTGAGGTCATCAATTGAATACTAGGAAGCTGTCCACAGGGAGAGCCTGTGCTTGGTCCAAGGATGTAGAAGAGAACACATTTAAAGGCCGGGTGCCAGTGGCTTACGTCTGTAATCCTAGCTACTCAGAAGGCTGAGATCTGAGGATCGGGGTTCAAAGCCAGCCCAGGCAGGAAAGTCTGTGAGACTTATCTCCAATAAACACCAGAAAACCAGAAGTGGTGCTGTGGCTTAAAGAAAAAAAAATTCACACGGACCTCAAGTGTCTGTCTTCTTTTCAGGAATTGACATCATTACATTGTACATTTCAGATTCTCTTAACTAATTTTTGGTCTTGGGGCCTGAACTCTGGGCCTGGGCGCTGTCCCTCAGCTCTTCAGCTCAAGGCTAGCATTCTACCACTTGAGCCACAGTATCATTTCCGGCTTTTTCTATTTATGTGGTGCTGACGAATTGAACCCAGGGCCTCATGCATGCAAAGCAAGCACTTCACCACTGAGCCACCTTCCCAACCTCTCTTAATTAATTAGTCAAATATATTCCTTCCCCGACCCCTTCTTCTTGTCCCCTATTCATGTTTCTGGCCAGGCACAGGCCCTGGGCGGAGGTTGCTGGGGTTAGGTTTACTCTATCTCCTTGTTCTTTGCAGTAAGTCTCAGAACACTGCTTGCCATAAGCACCAGAGGCCTCATTTTCACCATCATCTTTCAAAATACATTTTAGCATTTGTACTTTCTTCTCAGTACATGAGATTGATGGTCGTTTTAGGTTGTTTCCACTTTTAAAAAAAATTTTGTTGGTCCTGGGGCTTGAACTCTGGGCCTGGGCACTGTCCCTCAGCTCTTCAGCTCAAGGCTAGCGCTCTACCACTTGAGCCACAGTGCCACTTCTGGCTTTTTTCTTTTTGCTTATGTGGTGCTGGGGAATCGAACCCAGGGCTTCATGCCTGCAAGGCAAGTGCTCTACCACTGAGCCACCTTCCCAGCCCCCTTTAGAGTATTTTTTGAAAGCCTGCAATTCTAGTTTTCTGGTATTTTGGGTTGGAAAAAAGGAGCTGCTTTCTCTTTAAGTTACTTGAGCCTTTAGCATTTCTGAGTATTGTGAGATAATACTTTTGTGAGGGTTTCTTAAATGAGTCACATTTCCTTCCCAAGTTTCTGGATCTAGATATCATTTTTCTTGCACTGGCTGCTTTATTTTCCTGAGCAAGATATGTTTTAAAAAAAATGTCTTACTAGGGACTGGGGTGAAGCTGTGTGGTAGACCTTGTGCTTAACATGCATAGGGTCTTGAGTTTAATGCAGAGCACAAAATAAAAGAAAGAGGAAGTCCTTATTGCTTAACTAATAATCACCTGAGCCAATGTTCTGCATTTTTGAGGATGTAGATGTTTGTGGTTGCATTCCTTTCCTCGGGGTACTCTGACCCGTTGTAGTTCACCGGTTTGTTGTACTGTTATTTTCCACATTTACAGCGTGAGGTTGTCCAAAGGTGTGCATGTCAGGTGGTTGCCACTTCAGGAATCCGGATGGCGTGGAGTCACTTGAACCTTCGGATTTTGCCTTTGTGCACTCAGCTCTCAGTATCCAGAGGTACCCGCCTCTCTTTGTCAGGGGCAATCATCTTGGAGGTGAAGGCTTGGCTCAGTTGGTAGATTGTCAGCCAAGGAGTGAAAATGCCAGGGGACCTAAAAAAGAAAAAAAGAAAAGGGACAATCATCTCCAAACATCTGACTGGGAGGTGCAGTGTTGCTGCTCACTGGGTTTGTTTGTTGACTTGTTTTGATTTATCTGTTCTCCAGTTTGCCATGGCTTTCCTTGTGGTGGACTTTTCCATTTTTCACTGCCCCTTAGGTACTCGCTCTTAGACTGAGCAGACACTTGCTTTCCCTGTGGCTCATTTTCTTTCTTTCTTTTCTTTTTATTTTTTTGTCCACCATGGGGCCTGAACTCTGGGCCTGGGCGCTGTCCCTCAGCTCTTCAGCTCAAGGCTAGTGCTCTACCACTTGAGCGTCAGCCCCACTTCCAGCCTTTTCTGCTTATGTGGTGCTGAGGAATCGAACCCAGGGCCTCATGCATGCAAGGCAAGCACTCTACCACTGAGCCGCCTTCCCAGCCCCCCTGTGGCTCATTTTCCAAGGTCTGCAGAGAACATGGTGCTTAGCCAGGGACACAGGTTCTGGGTTAGGTGTCATGGCCTGGCCAGCCCACCTCTGCTCTTACCCTTAAGGTTCCTTCTCCTGGATTCCTGCATGCCTCCCAAGCCCACCCCCTCGCCCAGGGGCTGTTTCCCCTTTAGTTAGCTGGCCTCACCACTTGTAAAACCTCCTTTCTTAGTTCCTCTTATCACAGCAAAGAAAAGCTGACATTCACAAGAAAGCCAAACCTAAGGACTTTACTCTGCATGGAGGTAGCTGAGGAACAGTCACACACCAGAAGCAGGAAAAGCATTTTGTCCCTGGAGCAGTTCTTAGAGGCCAGCATTCCAGTGCTCGCTTTCCTAACCCTTGGCTCTACAAGGCCAGGAGAGCTTCCTCCTCTCCCTCTCCACCCCTGTTTATTCTGCCAATAAGACCACATTTTAGAGTGATACTTAGATTGGTGCTTGGCATTCTGTGTTTCTTTTATCACAAGTATGGAAACCGGACTTTGCCCTGGTTTCTACAGATGCCTAAACATGTCAAAGTTGCTGTTGCCTTGGCAACTGGCCGAGCTTTTCTTGTGTGTAGCAGTGGCTGGATAGGAGCCCAAATCATCCTTAGGGTTTCTCAACCAAATGGGCTGGTCAGGACCAAGCCCCAGAGGCATTGCTTTTTAGCTTCCCAAGCTTCCTGTTTTATTTTCCTGAGAAATGCAGTTCCAGCTCCCCTGCTTGGCTGGGTGGCATGTCCAAGGGTGGGACTGATCCCCAAGGAGCATCCTGCAGCAGCTTTTTTTTTTTCGTCCAGTCATGGGTCTGAACTCTGGGCCTGGGCGCTGTCCCTCAGCTCTTCAGCTCAAGGCTAGCGCTCTACCACTTGAGCCACAGTGCCTTCTGCTTATGTGGTGCTGAGGAATCGAACCCAGGGCCTCATGCATGCAAGACAAGTGCTCTACCACTGAGCCACCTTCCCAGCCCCTGCAGCAGCTTTAACCCAAGCTTCGTTCTGGCTGGTGCAGTGGCTCCTCGTGCTGTTGCTTAGGTTTCCTCTGCCTCTCAGGTCAGGGCTGCTCTCTGGGCTTTGCCCCAGGGTTCGCAGAAACGGCCTTGGGTGGAGGTGCTCGTCCTGACCATATCCCAAGTCATGGGAAAAAAATTAATGTCTCCTTTTTGAAGACTGAATCAAATAGTTATTATAATAAATTCCAGACTTATCCTTTGTTATTTTATCTTACTGCTGCTCTTGCTTCCTTTCGGGTTTCCTTTATTTCCTTCTTGTTCTTGTAAGTATGAATCTGAAGTTGTTTGATGGGAGAGAATGGTGAGAACCGTCTCCTCACCTCCCTTTAAAGCTCAGCCAGGCCATTTTCCTTGAAGGTTTGTGTGCGTGTGTGAGCGTGTGCCTGTGCGCGCACATGTGCACACACATATGCTTATTTCCAGAATTGCTATTTTGAACCTGTCTGCTACTTCTGCTGGGAACTTGTGGATTCACTACATTTAGAAATACTTTAAAATAGCATGTGCTCTTCCTCATAAGTGAAAGGGGTCTACTCATGTCTCTGTTCTGGAAGCTTCCTGTTGGCCATGTGATTGTTGGGACTGTGGAGAGCGCTGGCCTGAGGCAGATGGCCATGTCTGCCAGGAACCGCCAAGGCTACGAACCAGACTCGCCTCCAATTCCTGTCATCCAAAGGATGCACTTCTGGAGCGTGGGACAGGGCCAGTACTGAGTGTACAGCTATGCACTACAGGTGTTTGCAGTGCATCAGTGTTGGATGAGGAGCTTGGTAGCCAGATTGTCTGGGCTTCATCCTCCTCACCCCCACCCCCCAGAAAAGAAAAAGAGCTGGGCACTGATGCCTGTAATCCTAGCTACTCAGGAGGCTGAGATCTGAGGATTGCGGTTCAAAGCCAGCCCGGGCAGGAAAGTCTGAGAAACTCTTATCGCCAAAAAAAAAAAAAACACCAGAAAACCAGAAGTAGTGCTGTGGCTCAAGTGGTAGAGTGCTTGCCTTGAGCTGAAGAGCGAGGGACAGCGCCCAAGCCCAGAGTTCAAGCCCCATGACTGACCAAAAAAAAAAAAAAATACATGAACACCCCCACCCCAGCCTGGTGTGGAGCCTTGATGGACTAGAAGGGCCAGGCCTTACCCCCGTTCTTGGGACTTGGCTTGTTGCTAGCCATCTAGTCCTCTCCAGCTTTCACCAAGAAAAACTAGTGTGGATTTCACTGAAATGCTTTTTAAGGGCATCTGGGTCTTAAGCGTGTAATCCTAGTTTATCAGGCGGCTGAGATATGGAAGATGCCACTTTAAGATTGGCCCAGATAGAACAGTCCATGAGACTCCATCTCTAAACTAATCAACAAAAAGCAGGGCTGGAGTCATGGTTCAACAGATAGAGCACAAGCTGAAAAAGCAAACTGAGCAAGTGGATACCCTGAGTCCAATCCTCGTACCCCCAAAACAACAAGCAAAAACAAAAGATAGAAAAAAAATGCATGTTTTATTGAGGCCTCTTCTGTGTGAGGCATCCTACTTTGACCTGTCTGGTTACTCTCAGTCTCAGGACTTCATTGTTTTCAGGTGAGAAAGTTGGGCTCAGAAAGATGAAGTGCCAGGACTCAGCTATAAAATAGGGGATGTGTTGTGATTGATGTGCAGTGTCTGAACTCAGAATCCTGGCTGGATGATCAGATATGAACTAGATCCATCTGTCCTGCACTGTCTCTGTTCTCTGCAGCCTGATACTACTGGGGCTTGACCTCCAGGCCTGGACACAATCTCTTAGCTTTTTTTTTTTTCCCCTCAAGCAGGAGCTCTACCACTTGAGCCAAAACTCCATGTCTGGCTTTTTAAGTTGTGTTAAGTGGAGATAAGAGTCTTATGGACTAACTTTGAACTAGGTGATCCTGAGATCTCAGCCAGAAATTTCTGTTACTGTGACTATCACATCAGGGAGGGAAACATGAACAGGATGTACATTAAGGCCTCTATACCAGGCACCTGTGGACAGCAGCCTTTACCTGGTGCCGGGCTACTGTCCCCTAGTTGTATTGTCCTGGACACAGTCCCAGATACTCTCCTGGGAATGGCATTTGCAATGCAGTTTTAGGTTTTGACTGAGGAGATAAATGCACACTGGCTCTTCCACACAGACAGTCATTGCTTGCCACTTTGAAGGCATTGCCCACTGGGCAGAAGAACTTCCTGGAAAGTCACTTTAAAAAGCCTCTGACCCTTTGTGGAGGCTGGAATGAAACGGATTCTCCATCTTAACTCAGCCTTGATGTAACAGTCATTCTGACTAGCAGTTTGCAAGCTGCCAGCCTCCTGGCATCGGTGAGTTCGTTAAGTATTTTCAGGTAACAGTTGTGAAACGCTGCTCCCGAGAAGGCTGGCTGCGCCTCCTGTCAGACACCGCTGCTCCTTTGCTGCGCTGATTTTGGACCGGCCAGGTGAGGTCTCTGCACTGTCAGCCTGTGTCACAGAGGGAGATCTGGGCTGCACCCAGCTCAGTGCTGTTGCCATGTCTAGCCATTCTTCCTG